TTTTTTTTTTTTCTTTTTTGCAGTTTTTGAACCCACCACCTCCAGCATACAGGGCTGGCACCCTACTCCTTTGAGCCACAGGTACCGCCCTATTGGGCAGATTTTTAAATATTCCCTAAACACAAGGCAGAGAATAGCCATGTCAAAATGGAGCCTCAAGCTTAAATGCATATGGGAGATTTCCCAAAGCAATCAGCAAAAAACAAAGAGATGATGCAATGCAATTCCTGAGACATCTTTGTAACCGTATTAATAAAGCACAAATGCCACAACTTCTGGACAGAGGGACTCCATAGACATTCAAGTTTCAGTGGTTACAAGGCCACATTGTTCCTTGACACCCTCTGACATAATCTTTGATCAATCTCCTCTTGCTTATTCCCCTGCCACACTGGTTTCCTTCTGGCCTTGAACACCTGACAGAAGCACCTTCCTCAAGATGTCTCATTGATTGTTTATTCTGCCTTGCACACAACTCCAGGGAGCTTTGCAACTCCTTCTGTGTCTTCATTATGACCTCAGTTCAATTGTCACCTTTCTTGTAGCTCTTACTTGAATGCCCAGTAAAAATTTTTAAAACACCCCATTCATGCTTTTCTTTTTACCTTCTTTCTTTTTCTTCATAGGATTCTTCACCATCTAACATAGCATGTGTTTTATTTTAACTTTCTTATTTGCTTATATTTTATCTTTGTCATTAGATTGTAGAGATTTTCTGTTTTATAGCACCATTCACCCATTGCCTCTAAACAGTACCTGGAACATGTCAAAATTTACTTTATATTCCTCAAATTAATGAAATATTTTCTCATTTAAACTTTAGAATACAGGTTGGGTGCTCGTGCCTGTAACACTAGTACTTTGGGAAACTGAGGTGGAAGGATTGCTTGAGGCTAGGAGTTTAACACCAGCCTAAACAGGAAGGAGATCCTGTCTTTACAGAAAACAAAAAAATTAACTAGGCATGATGTCACATGCCTGTAGTCTCAGCTACTCAGAAGGCTGAGGCAGGAGGATAGCTGAAGCCCAGGAGTTTCAGGTTGCAGTGTTCGATGATGATACCAATACCCTCTAGCCTAGGTGACAAAGAGAGACTCTGTCTCAAAAAAAAAAAAAAAAAAAAAAAACAACACTTTAGAATACACACCATCTGGGAAAAGTTAAGAGCAGGAAAGGAAAACAAATTAAATAAAGTAAATGAACTAATAAATAAGCTAATGAACCTATAAAAAAAGAAAGAAAGAAAGAAATTCCAGGCTAGGCACCTGTAGCTCAAGAGGCTAAGGCGCCAGCCACATACACCAGAGCTGGCAGGTTTGAATCCAGCCTGGGCCTGCTAAACAGCAATGACAACTACAACCAAAATATGGCTGGGTGTTATGGTGGGCGCCTGTAGTCCCAGCTACTTGGGAGGCTGAGGCAAGAGAATTGCTTAAGGAGTTGGAGGTTGCTGTGAGCTGTGATGTCACAGCACTCTACCCAGGGCAACAGCTTGAGGCTCTGTCTCAAAAAAAAAAGAAAGAAAGAAATTCCAAATGATCCCCTAACAGGGAACAAATTCATGCCCAAAATATAGAAATCAACTTCTTGTAAAATAGATGTTACCAGAAATTGGGATGATTGAGTTGAGAGCTGGGGAGATAGAGGTCAAAATTATGGTTTGATAGGAGGAGAAATTTTAAGCAATTTATATTCACTTGTGGGAACTTCTGGCCCAGGACAATAGAAGGGTAGGGTAGTAAGAAATGGTTCTATTCTAGATCTGTCTCCTGACATTGCCAAAGTCCTCACATTAATGAAAATGCAAAATGATTCTCATTCTGAAAAACTTAAAATATATTTAAGAATGTGTATATCCTAAAACCTATGGTCTTCTTACTATGTTTTTATATTAAATTGTCACACAGGTTCAATAAAAAGGAGATCTATAGGACAGCATGATGACTACAAGTTGATGATATATTTTTTAAAAGGGAATGTTTTATATTCTCACCTCAAAAATGATGACTACATAAGGTGATGTAGACTGTCAATCAGCTAGATTTAACCATTACACAATGTATATATACTTCAGAATAACAAATTGAAAAAGATACTTACATTTTCACTTTTCAACTTAAAAATAACAAAAGTTTTAAAGTAGAAATTAACATACTTACTTTAAAACATAAGTAATAGCACTTCTGACAGGTTTGGAATGCAAGTTTGTGTCATGTTCTCTTTCTCATTTTTGGTATTCACATCGACCAGATGGAAGGAGGGAATGATACACAGATTTCAGAATTTCTTCTTCTGGGATTTTCAGAGAAACCAGAATTGCAGCCCATCCTTTTTGGGCTGTTCCTGTCCATGCACCTGATCACCATGTTTGGGAACCTGCTCATCATCCTGGCCACAGTCTCAGATTCCCACCTCCACACCCCCATGTACTTCTTCCTCTCCAATCTGTCCTTTTCTGATATCTGTTTGGTTTCTACCACTGTCCCAAAGATGCTGGTGAATATCCAGACACGGAGAAAAACCATAACCTATACAGGCTGCATAATCCAGATGTACTTTTTTGTACTCTTTGCAGGGCTGGACAGCTTACTCCTGACGGTCATGGCCTATGACCGATTTGTGGCCATCTGTCAGCCCCTTAACTACATGGTCATCATGAACCCCAGGCTCTGTGCACTGCTGGTTGTGGCATCCTGGATCATGAGTGCCCTGAATTCCCTGTTAGAAAGCTTAGTGGTGCTATGGATGTCCTTCTGTACAGACTTGGAAATCCCCCACTTTTTCTGTGAAATTAATCAGGTGGTCCACCTGGCCTGTTCTAACAGCTTTTTTATTGACATGATGATGTATTTTTCAGCTATGCTGCTGGGTGGTGGTTCCCTGGTCGGGATCCTTTACTCTTACTCTAAGATAGTTTCCTCCATACGTGCAATCTCCTCAGCTCAGGGGAAGTATAAAGCATTTTCCACATGTGCATCTCACCTCTCAGTTGTCTCCTTGTTTTATTGTACAAGCCTAGGGGTGTACCTCAGTTCTGCTGCCACCCACAACTTACACTCCAGTGCAACAGCCTCGGTGATGTACACAGTGGTCACTCCCATGCTGAACCCCTTCATCTACAGTCTGAGGAATAAAGACATAAAGAGAGCCCTGAACCAATTCTTAAGGGGGAAGATATAAAAAAGATCATTTTGTCAAGAAGTGCCTGTGATTTCAATGCTCTAAGCCCCAGACCCCGAAATTATGAGTCATTAATCAGATTATGGAGGTAGAATTTTCTCCTTCTATTTATTTCCTGATTTTTCAATTTCTTTAATCTTAACTGCTTAAGAGAATTTAATCTGTTCCTTTAGAAAGATTTTTGCTTTATGATATCCAACTGAATTTCCCATAGTTATTTTCACACTATAGTCAAAAACTTTTTGGAGATTGCTATTTATCTTACACTGTGTTAACCCTACAGAATCAACCACATTTAGCAACTATAAAATAATTTATGTAATTTTATTGTACGTGAGTATCTAATACCACAGGTTTTCACTTTTGAGTTTGTCATTCCTTTCTCTATCATTACCTTAACTGCTTTTCTTGTAATTTATACGTAGTCATGGCATTTTATTCCTCTTATTAGCACCCTCTCCTTGATTCAGCTCTGTATCCATAGTACCTACTATACTTCCTAACACAGAGTAAGAAGACAAAATTTACTTATCAAATATATATTCCAAGTGTAGTCTACACAGAAAGAAACACTTATATAAATCAATTGACTTCATATGGCCTTAGTTTCAGAAATGATGTTAAAAACAATGAGTAAAAGTTACACTCAGACATGGAATTATTATGGAAGACTTGTTTTGCTTATGCGTATTATTCATTTAAATGTGGAAGCTTGCTATCCACATACAATAAGGTTTGTTCATCTGAGTGAATGTTTGGTATCATAGTCTACATTGTATCATCTTTCTGTTTCCACTTAAAGTTTTTCACTGCTACCCATAAACACGGCTTATTCCATTGTTCTAACAAATATATCCCCCTTTAAAAATTTTTGTCATAAGCATTTAAGTGCAAGTAAGTGAAAAATATGTGTATTCACACTATCATCAATTGTTTTTTCACTCTTAGTGTCTAAATTCTCTTGAATTTTCATGATCAAATTATGACTCATGCAATAGCTTTAATTTCTGACCATTATTGCCTCTGGGAAGAGAGAAGTGTTTCAGAGTCACAATTTGTTCATACAAAAACAGATATGTTCTTTCAAATTCTCCTCAACACCTTTAAGAAATCTAAAAGGTAGTTTCATTGCAATTCAGTCATCTGAAGTAAATAAAAGTATCCAGGCAATTATGCTTTCAATTATCAGAAAAATATACCAAAAAATAAAGGGCAAAAAGTCTTGGAAGTTTTCAAACTGGAGGTTAAGACATATAATTTCAAGGAGACCAAAATACTCAGTCCAGAAGGCTATGTAAAACTAGTTAGTTATTTTTTGACACCAAGAGCAATTTCAGAGAGAGGAAGATCAAGAGAAATAGTGTGATCTCACAATGCTTCTTGCAGGCAATGAACATCAGATGACTGTTCACATTCTGTCAGGCAAAACATGTCACATGTTAAGGCTCAATGTCCATCATTCTAGGGAAATACACTCTTCCTGATTTAGGTCTCATCAAGGTCCAGATCTAAGGGTGGAGAAGTATAAAATTCCTAAAGACAATGGATGATTTAATAAGTGAACAAAAAGTAAAATTATGTAGCCATAGAAAGATACATTCAAATATTTTATAACATTTATTAAATGCATGCTATAAGCTTGCAAAAAGGACCATGAGTGTTCCATGAAGTATTGGAGGAGTTCCCAGAAGATTTGGAGGAAATATTTTGTGCATCATGAAACATCAGACTTATGGATATTCTGATGAATAAAAGATAGTAGAAGAGCTTAAAAGAGTTGGAAAATTCTGAAACACCATGTTCCCCTCAGGTGACAGAGAGAATGTTCCTATATTGAACAAAGCATATGATAGACTCTCAAGCACTCTCTTCTCTTGTGAGGACCTGGGAGAAGATCTTCACTTCAAGAACTTGCTGCCTCTCAAAAGCAAGATAATTTTAAACTCATTTCCCATCACACACACACACACACACACACACCTTTCTGGTATCCAATGAGTTTACTAAATGATGAACATGGACATAGTCACAATACCTGCAAGCCACTAAACATCTAATCTATGCCAGGTAATTTCCAGTGAGCTTTAAATTATTACCTAATCCTCACATAAACTCCGTAAGGTAAGCAGAATTTCTAAAACTTTGACTTGCTGTCATTAGGGAAACACTCAAAGGGCAAAGTATACTTGTTTATGTAAAAGTTGTGTTACCTCATCCAAAATTTGACCACCTAAAGTCAGGCATGAGCTGAGTGTGGTGGCTCATGCCTGTAATCCTAGCACTCTGGGAGGCCAAGGTGGGTGGATTGCTTGAACTCATGAGGTTGAGACCAACCTGAGCAAGAGCAAGATACTGTCTCTAAGTAAATAGCTGGAAAAAATAAAATAAATAAATAATAGACATTGTGGCAGGCACCTGTTCCCAGCTACTTGGGAGGTTGAGGCAAGAGGATTGCTTGAGTCCAAGATTTTGAGTTTTCTGTGAGCTATGAAGCCACAGCACTCTACCCAGGGTAACAAAGTGAGACTCTGTTTCAATAAATAAATAAATAAAGTCAGACGTAAGGTGCATGATAGGATTTTTGGTGGAGAAAGCCTCAAAATACTTACCCCTGACACTGGACCACAGCCTTTGCTGTCAAAGTTTGGTCCACAAAGCAGGTCAGGCAGCACCAACATCAATAGGAAAGTAGTTACAAAAGCAGGGGGAATGGACTCATCTTAGGTTTTGAACAAGATATTCAAGTGGATCATATATACAGTGGAGGTGGATATATTCTAGTCTAGAATAGTCTCTCAATCTCTGCAGTACAACAGTTTTTTGGACAACTTGTGTGATGTGGGATGCTCTGTGCATTTTAGGATGTTGACCAGCATCCCTGACTTCAATTCACTAGGTACCATAGTACCTTCCCAGTTGTGATAACCAAAAAGCTGACTAGACATTTCCAAGTGCCTCTGGAGACACAGTCTTCCCAGTTGGGAACCACTAATGTAGACAAAGGGAAAATTTTTGATGGATTTTTAACCAAAGCTCAGTTCATAACTATTAGCAGATTGTTTAACCCTTTTGCTTCCTAATCCTGCAAGTGCAGAGCTTCCTAATAGTATGACATCATAGAATGGAAATGTGTAAAAATAAGACATGGACATGGTCTTACATGAAGAAAACCTTAAAGACTTCACAGAAAAACTGTTAGAACTGATAAACAAATTCCTTATTTGAAATCAACATACAGAAGTCAGAAGTGTTTGTAACACTAACAATCAACTATCTGAAAATAAGAAAACAATTTCATTTAAAATATCATTGAGGGATCACACTTATGGTTCATCTTATAAGGGTACATATGACTCTTTCTAAATGTAGAATATAAATGTCTTAACACAATAACTAAGAAAATGACATGAAGGTTATGTTAGCCAGTTGGATGAAAATATTTCACATTATATATAAAAATAACACACTGTACCCCATGACTGTATTAGTGTACACAGCTATGATTTAATAAAAATAAATCATGGAGCTGGGATGACACATAAAAAAGGTACATAAACTGATAAAGGATGATAGGCAGCCTTTAAATAAACCCTAATATTTACCATCAATAATTTTCCACACTGGTATTAAGAAGATGCAATGGAAAAAAGACAGTGTCTTCAGTAAATGATATCGGGAAAACTGAATAGCACAGGCAGAAGAATGAACTTAGACCATTCAAGTTCATTCACCATATACAAAATATACAAAAATCAACTTACACCATATACAAAAATCAACTCAAAGTCAATAAAAGGATTAAATGTAAGAGCTGAAACTGGAAAACTACTCAAAGAAAACGAGGATAAATCTTCATGAGATTAGTCTCACCAGTGATTTCTTGGATAGGACCTAAAAAACACAGGAAACAAAAGCAAAAATAGGCAAATGGGATTTCATCAAACTAAAAAGCTTTTGCACAACAGGGAATTATTTAACAGAGTAAAGACACTGCAAGAAAATGTTTGCAAGCCGTATATCTGATAAGGGGCTAATATCCAAAATATATAAGGAACCCAAACAACTCAATAGAAAGAAAACAAATAACCCAATGAAAACATAGGCAAAGTATCTGATTGTATATTTTTCAAAAGAAGAGAATGAATGGCCAGGGCACATATGAAAAAATGCTCAACATCTATAATCATCTGGTATATAGAAATTCAAACTACAGTGAAACTTCACTTCAATGGTGATGCCTATTATCAATGGTAATAAGTGTTGGCAAGAAGGTAGAGCAAAAGGATCCATTATAAATTATTCCTGGGAATAGTACATACACGTAGGAAAATAATATGGAGTTTCCTCAAAAAATTAAAATGTTACTAGAACTACCATATGATCCCACAATCCCACTTCCAGGAATATAGCCAAAGAAACTAAAAATGATATGTCAAAAAGATTGATATCTTCTTGCAGATGCACTTCCATGTTCATTGCTGCATAATTTAAAATACCCTAAATATGGAAGCAACCTAAGTGTACAATAATGAATTAATAGATAATGAAAACATTGCATTATGTATACAATGAAAAAAACATTCGTCCTTAAGAAAGAAGGAAATGCTGTCATTCATAACAACATGGATGGAACTGGAGGACATTATGCTAATGGAAAAGAGAAAAATAAATATAATCTTATACATTCTCACTTATATGTGGAATCTAAAAATGTTGATTGCATAGACACAAAGCATAGAAAGGTGGTTACCAGAGGCTGGGGTCTCACTCTTGCTCAGATTGGTCTTGAAATTCCTGGCCTCAAGCAATCCTCCCAGAGCCACCTCACCTGGCCAAATGTTTAGCAATTTTGAAATATGCAATACTTATGATCAACTGTGGTCACCATTCTATACAAAAGATCATTAAAACTTATTTCTCCAGTGTAAAAAGGAGGAAAATTCATAAACATTTGAAAATTAAATGACAGATGTCTAAATAATCCATAGTTCAAGGAGAAA